TCCTCCTAAGGATACGAAACCGCAGCGAACAGTTCCCTCTAGACCAGGACCTGCAGGCTCATTTGTGTACGAGCCTAGGTACCCCAAGGTGTCCCACCCCAAGGTGCCCCATCCTGACAAGATCACTGGGGATGACCCCAAAGTGGGGGACATGTCAAATTGGGTGGCCTATGAAGTCCTCTATGTGAGGGGCTCCACCTGTCCAGATGCAGGTACCTTTTTTTTTTTTTTTTTTTTTTTTTTTTTTTTTATAACAACAACAGTAATCCTCATGGGAGGGTCTAAGCTGAAATGTTGGATGGGATTTTCCAAGGTCTACAGACGAAGAGAAGGCCCGAAAGGCTGCAGATGAGTTGGTTGGCCTTGGCCAGGCGGCCCAGGCCAAATACAGGCGTTCCCTGACCAAACTCGATGCAGAGATTGAGCGTCTTACCTCAAACACTTATGACCCATCTATCCAAGGTACAACTGATGTATAGCAGAGAGATGTTTACAGCACTACAGGCTTTACATTCTATATGATGCTGATGCACTTTGCCACAAAACCCAAACAACCTTGGGATGATGTCATCGACAAGTCCGAACATAGACTAACTCCTGGCATTGCAAAATTCGATAAGCACAAAACCCAAACAACCTTGGAATGATGTCATCGACAAGTCCGAACATAGACTAACTCCTGGCATTGCAAAATTCGATAAGAGTTGTTTGAACGACCTAAACCAGGCGAAAACTCTTTAATAAAAAAGAGGCCCAAAAAAAGAGGATGATCGAATAGGCTAACGAGCATCGCTCTGCCTATACCACACAGCCAGGTCACTGGGTCTGGGATGAGAAGTTGTGAGCTAACTGACGAATAGGATATCTCAATAATAATAATAATAATAATAATAATAACAATGATAATAATAATGATAAAAATAAAAATAAAAATAAAAATAAAAATAAATTAATAATAATAATAGTAATAATAGTAAAAAAAGGATATCTCAATAAAACTTGTTGCCTGTTTACTACGGCCCATGGCAGGTACTTGATACTATTGGGGGGGGCGGATCTATTTGGACCTTCCTACGCGCTTGTTGCACCCCCTCACATCAAAACTTATCCACTGCTGACCTTTCACTCCTGCTGACGTATTTCCAAACAGGCCACCGCGGATTGGACCTCCTATCCCCAATTGTGAATAAGGGCACAGGCCCCGATTGTGAATACCTTGTGAAACTGCTTTCTCGACCTCGCATAAAGGACCGATGGTTCACAAGGAAGGATCTTCTGAAGTTCGACTTCGCAAATTCAGTCGAACACGCCTATGAGGCTGAACAGAAAGGGCAACCACTCTGACGTTCTCCTCGTGGACACTCCTACCTCCGGGTCCTCGCTCCCCAGAAGGATAGGTATACAATAATTAATTGCAATGTTATGCGGGTCGTACACTTATATCTGCTTTGTCTGGTTTTGAGCACTCCAAAACATGACCCCGCGACCTGTACCATGGTTGTGTTTCTTTGTGTATATGAGCCTTGCTGGGCTCGATCCCAAGGTCCGATTATCCGAGTCTCTGTAGGGCAGTCAAATAACCATTGGGCCTTTCTGTTTTGTCATGTTCTGCCCTTGAGCTGTAGGTTGTTTTTGTCCTTCCTTTTTGCACATTTTAGTTCTACATTCGGTCCTAGGCTTTATGGCTGTAGGCTGTCGAGTCAATGGAATCAGGAGTGTGCAAAAGTGTCGGAGGCAAAGGAAACAGGGTTCTGTTTTCTTCATTCTTTCCACAAAGTCCGGCTGGGAGGTTGCATTGATGCTGCAGTGCTAATTTCCATAGCGCAGGCTCCTTCTTCATCAGCGGGCGCTGACCGCCATCGCTCATCAAGCCAGCCGCGTGGCAACAGCGCTGGGCTTACAGACTCTTTGAAGTGGCAGCCATCCATCTTCATCATGCTGGAATTCTTCTTCATCATCCAAGGAGCTACTCTCCCCTGTTGAGCAGGCACTTTATTGCCAGTGTGGGCGTCCTGATTGGACTGCTGAGTGATTTGTTGTGTTCAGGAGGGTTGCAGGCGACCGATGAACTGGTGTGTTGAGCCGGTGCCGCGCCACAGCTAACGCTTAACTGGAGGGAGGAAGAAGCCTACCAGACACTTCGATGGAACCATTCTAAATGATTGGGTCCTTGGTATTGCTAACGTGGTTGCGATTCTCGAGGAAACAGCGCGTTGATTGACTCGAGGGAGCGGGAGACGAATTAGAATTGATTAACTTCATTTCTACTTTTCGGTTGTAAAATGCTTCCACCGCGTGTTCTCTCATCCGGTCCGGTGTGAGCTGATCTCACCAAGCTCTCTTGTCGCTGCGCATGTGTATGCAAACATGTGGATGCCATGCGTATGCAAACTTGTTGCCGCGCATGTGTGGAAGCATTTTTGCAAACATGTGGATGCCATGCGTATGCAAAAATGTATCTCATTTCAATCAGGCACATGACCTTCCGGCGACCACAGAAAATGCCATTCTTGTCGTTGCGCATGTGTATGGCTGAGGGCAACTTCTTAGTAGTTAAAATAGCCTATTGAATTGAATTCAAAAAAAATAATAATAATAAACAAAATACAACACACCCTGGCCCTTTCATACCCTTTCCGCGCCCCTTGGTTATGGGTCTCTACACAGCGCTGAAAGTTGAGACTAGAAACGCTGGGTCGGAGCCGCCATACCTGCCAGTGTTCTATCGTGATATGTCCATAGAATCGAGCGGCCCGGACCACCTAACCCGCCAGGCAAAATAAATAAATAAATAAACAAGTTTATTTCTTAATTTTTTATACTTGGTAAAAACTTTCGCTGTGACCCTGAGTGAAAAGTTGTTCGGCTTATACTTCTGCATAACGTCTTTTTTTTTTTTTTTTTGGATTTTAATTCCTTCTCCTTTCTTAAGCTGGGACCTTCTTTGGTCCTTCCACGTTGGGCCGCCCGGGAAAACAAGGTGAACCGAGCACCGCACGCAGCCTAGGTGCACTTGTTTATGTTTCATCAGAGTTTCATGCGGTTTTCATATCTTCTACATCTACATACGCACTCTACGCAACCTAAGGTGAGACATCCGCAGTCGCATGCTCATGCCAATTCGGACACATCTCAGTGGGCACAGAAACGCCCGATGGCACTGGCGAGTTCTGAAGCACCAGTACAGCACACATCGGCCCCCCGGGGGCTAGGTCCCACTTGCACGGATTACGAGATTCTGGCCGTTGATCATTGCTATCTGCGGTCAATATCGCTTGATTCGTGTAAGTGGGACCTAGCCCCGGGTGTCATAACGAAACCCGCACTACTTCGGAGTCTGACGATTTTTTTTTATTTTTTTTTTACGACACCCCATGCCGCACGGCCCCTCCGAGTTTCATTTGTGTGGCAACAAACACTCTCCACAAAACAGCGGCCATGTACTCCAAAAAAATAGATTCGCAGAGAAACCTCCATCCTCCGTGAGGTGCACGACTTCATTCACGGCGCAGTATCTGTTGCACTGTTCATAATTTTATTTTTTTTTTGAACGCCTTTGTTTATGGCATAGCCAGGAGTGTTTTTTTTTTTCTAACACTGTTTCTCACGTCGCATTATAGCATAGCCAGGCATCGTAACCACACATGATTAATGACCCAAGTTCCAGCTCTTAACTAACGGGGGTCCAAAACCCCCTGACATTAGGGTTTGGGGGTCGAATTTAATGGTTTTCTATTTCTAATATTTGCCTGCTTTCGTTTTGTTTCTGGGTTACTTGCTGTGTGGCAAATTTGGTGTCATTGCATCCGCCTTTAACCACCAGTAGCTTTCCCTGCTTGCAAAGCAAATACCGATTCACACGGCACGGTCATTCTTTGGGCGCCCAGTAGCTACCCAAGGACCAGGCAAAGGAAGAAGATGAAAACTAAAAAAAAACGGGAAAAAAATAAAAACGAAGAAAACTAACCACAAACAAAGAAAAGGGCGCAGGAAAAAGAAAGAAAAAGATCTCTCTCTCTCTCTCTCTCTCTCTCTCTCTCTCTCTCTCTCGGTGTCTCTCTCGGAACTGCACATTTCGTTTTGTTTGTTCATTTCATTTTTATTTTTCTTGAATCTCTTTCTTTGTTGGTATTTCCTTTTTCGTTTTGTTTGTTCATTTTCATTTTTATTTTTCTTGAATCTCTTTCTTTTTTGGTATTTCCTTTTCCGTTTTTTTTTTTTTTAATTTGTGTGCGAGCGTTTATAAATGCTCAATGTCCTAGTTCGGCATACCAGTAGCTCCAGCGTCCGGCTCGTCAGCCGGGAAAGGTACCGGAGGTTTAATTGTGAGAGGTAGCTATGCTTACAGGGGTCCCCTGTAAACGCTTAGGAGTAGTGGTAGGTAGATAATGAAAGGTGAAATTGAGAGATGACTATAGCATAGTTTTTCAAGAATAGAGGGAAAAAAAAATTTATCATTTTGAGCATTGGAATTTCCCCTGCTGAGATTTCTGAGATTTCTCGACATTTTTGAACTCGTTTCATGAAACTGCACTTTTCCCTTGCTGTTTTATAGGTTGTTCTTTTTTTTTTTTTTTTTTTTTTTGGCACTTAGTTAATAGGGTCTCCACTCTATGAATTGATGGCCAGCTTGGTTGAAATGACCCTTGGGTTTTAGTTATGCCGGGCCTGACAGGTTGTCTGCAATTTTCGGTCTCCGTTAACCTGCTCTCATCGTTGCATATGCATATCCATTTGATGATGACAGATAGAAAAAAAATCCACGCCAGCACACATGGCCAGATTCACTTGCATTCGTGTCATCAACTGCGCGAGAAAGAGAAAAAAAAAAAAAAAAAAAAAAAAAAAAAAAAAAAAAAAAAAAAAAAAAAAAAAGAAAAGAAAAGAAAAGCAAACGACCAATGTGAATGAATGACAGAAGAGAGACCCTGACCACAATCAATGTGCACAGGCCTGATGGGTATAAATATCTAAACACTACTGTTGGGAAAAAGAACCATACATTAAAATTTTTAAAAGCAAGAAGAAATAAAAAGAAGAAAAAAGAACATTTCCAAGAAAAGAAAAAAAAAGAAAAGAAAGGACATTGAATGCTCGGCATTGCTTGCGTGTTCCGCTTGCATGCAACTCACCGCTCCGCTCTCAGTCTCGCTGCCACACTTCTGCTTTCCACAGATGTCTCTAGAAAGATTGGACGCTCTACAAAGAGAGGGGAGGGAGCGGTTTCCTGAGCGCCAAGCCGCAGCTCAGCGGCAGCTGGACGGAGATGAGCAGCCTGTGTGGGAAAGGATAATATTTGTGTCGCTTAGAAAAATGTTAGAAGATCATGTTCCCGCTTTTTTTCCTCTGTGGGCTACGCCATCGCAAGCGAAGTAATACGTATGAAAACACAGTCTCAGGCAAAACGCAAGACACACACAACAGCACGACAAGTGCCAAGTCTCAGGAAACACAGCACAATGCAGACAACAGAACCCACAGCCGGCATGTTAAACCAGGTCCTCGTTTCTGAGGCCCCGAGCAATTACCCTCTGATAGAGCTGCTGCCCCCACCTCCACTCCGATAGTGCTGCGATTGGCTGCACGGTCTGCACTCCCTCCCCACCCCACCCCCCGCCCCACCAATAGTCTTTCGCCCGACAAACTGATGTCCCATGTGCTCCTCCACCGCCCTCTCTTTCCTGTGCATGTTCTATAAGGTGCCTTTCATTTGAAACTTGCAAGTGTGCGCTTGGCTTGTCACACAAACCACTTAAACATGCAATTGTGCGCTTAGCTTGTCACACAAGCCATTTACCATGCTTCATTCCTTTGTCACAGCAGCTATAAATGAGCCCTTCCCGCTATGGGATGGGCCTTATTAAGCCATGTGATTTTCCTGTGTCCAACCCTACGGAATGGGCTCTTCACACCCTATATGATGTGCCCAGCCCTAAATGTCGATGCAAGTGCTCGATGCTGCATTTGACGACTCCGGTTTTCACAGTTGAGCATGAAAAATGGCACCTGGCTCTTAGCCAGACACTCCACCTCACCCCTACTCTCTCTCTCTCTCTCTCTCTCTCTCTCTCTCTCTCTCTCTCTCCCCCAATCATCACCCTTTCCCCCTCTCCTCTCCCCCTCCTTTCACCTGCTGCCGCCTGTCCTGCAACTCTGCTGATACATAGGATGCACCTGAAGAAGGAAGGGAGAACCTGGTCCACTTTCTGCACACAATAGGGACCTGGTCTTGATTGTCAACCTTTGCTCGACCAGAGATGCTCCCCAGTTCGCTTTTGCGGCTGCGGCTAATTGGCGATTATTTACTTGCTTCGATAACTCTCCTACTCGCTCCAGGTCAACCAGGCCTCATTTCTTAACCCTCAAAGAATCGGTACCTATACCTTAGTGGCGTGTCAGGAGAAAACAGTGTCTCCTCGAGTCAGGAGGAAACAGCGTCTCCTCCTGTTCTGCATTCCGAGTAGTACACGATTTGCTAACCAGCCCCTTCTTCTTCCCTACATTCATCAGTTTTCACAGTTGTCGAACGGCAAACAGGATAGGTTGATACTTGAGAGAGGCGGGAGGAAAAGGGGGGGGGGGGGGGGGGGNGGGGGGGGGGGGGGGGGGGGGGGGGGGGGACGCCTTGGTACTAAACGACCGCGCCCCTCCGAGCCTGTTTTTCACTGCACACCAAGTTTTGCCGAGCCTGGGGCCTGAGACAGCGGAGCCCCAGACTGCGAAGTGAAATGTCCACAGCCCATGAAACAACAAACAGCAGTCTCTGAGTTGAAAGAAGTATCAATGGGACACTAGACCCGGTTTCCGGCAGCTGCCACTCCCCACCAATAGATGGAGCAGCCTGACACAAGGAGGGAAAAAATAAAAAAAGCAGTGCCAGACTTTCAAAAAACGATGCGCTTACAGCCCCAAGAGAGGAAAAAGGAAAAAAAACAAACACCCCTTTGGACGTGATACCAGGTAAATACCTACCCCACAGTTGTTGTGTGACCACTATGCCCCGAGTGAGGGCGTTACGGCAGAAGGGTGTCTGGTCCACGGAAGAAGAAGAAAAAAGGGAAACAAAAGAAATATTGAAACTGAATTTAGGCCAGGCAAGCGGGTTCATACATTCTGCATAGTAGTAGTGTGGGCATGCCATCCTCCACAAAGTGTCAGCCGCCCGTGGACTGCACCGTGCCTCTCTGGCAGGGCACCAAAACAAACAACAAAAAAAAAAAGAAACGTACAACGAAAACCTGAACCTGGCCACAATAGTAGTTAGATACTTTCTTGTGAGTATTGGTGTATGTGTGAGCACAACTTCGTGCACCGCCTTCCCCGACTTGGTCCTTTTTTGTTTTTTCGAACGGGCGCACAAGGCCCAACTGCCGAGTCTCCGCATACCCCCAGAAATGTGCGGAAAAAAAGTGGGACTCGGCAGTTGGGCCTTGTGGGCCAACTGCCAGTTTTTCCCAAATTTTCCCGAAAGTGACAGAGGTAGTGGTGGAAGTTTAAACTTTAAACTAAAAATACAACGGCAGCCGAAGAGAACCGAGTCCCTCAAAACTGGTGTGCAGGCAAGCTATTATGAAAACACGGATGCTCGTCTCACAGAGACATTCACACAAAAGCGTTCGCAGACGACTATCCTGCCATTTGTGAAATATGGTTGAAACAAAAAGATCAGGCGACATGTACATCACGCATCGACGCGAGGAGGATCGCTGAATCATCTACTTATTCCAAGTGAACAGTCCTGAGAACCCATCCATGGGAATTGTTCTTCCTCCTCGATCCTGCGTGCACACGAACAAGCTCACAGCGACCAAGCGCCCAATTGCACACACACGAACATCAGCCCCACAAACAACCAACACATCCATCGATACAAACGCAAACAATGGTTAAGCACCACCGCTAAAATGCCACAGCCGATGGTTAAGCACCATCGCGAGGAGGGAGTTATTACCAACATCACATCACATCACATCAAATCAAATCAAATCAAATCAAATCAAAACACGAAAGTCGAAAGCCGCACTCCCATAACTTTGAAGTTTGAACTAGCATAGACGACTGTGCTGTTCTGTTGGTCAGCTTCTTTCTTCGTTAGGTTACACAAAATGCTGCACAAATTTTGCCGTTCGGTGGATCCGTTCGGTGGATCCGTTCGGTGGATCCTGGACGGTGGATCCGTTGATTACAAACGCGTGTCACCGATGAGCGTTACATCTGTAGCTCCTGGACATAGCTACTGCCATCCCTTTGAATAGTATCTTGTTCCTCTCCTCTCTTTCACTGCTGTCGTTCCAATAGCCCGACGACTTGAAAGAAGGTATTGCACTTCATTGTCACCAACTTTCGATGTCAGGATTGGGCAATTAGCGTGCCTGCTGCCATGGTTCTTCCTTTCCCTAGTTCTTGTGCACCATGTGATTCTTGTGCAATGCGATAACACGATCTTTAACATCTGATGACGGCATCTTCCAGGTGTCGACGCTCGGATTCGCTAGAGCTCCTCCACGAATAAGACCCCAACGACCACAGCGAGAGACTCCTCCCAGCAAGTTCTTCTCCTCTCCACCCTTCCCTTTCGCTCCCAGAGCGTTCCTCTTCTTCTTCTTCTCCTTTTTTCTTTTGATAATTTGGTCGGCACCATTTCTCAATTTATGTGAATCATCCTCATGCAGGAGGTATATGCTAATCTTCTCCGAGTCGATCCAATTTCAATGAATGTCTCCGGCCCATCTTAATTCCTTTTTTATGTTCCAGTTTTTGGACTTCCTCTTATACAGGCCCCTCGTAAGATGTTTCCCTTGCGAATTGTTTTTTTTTTAATCGATTGACGACTTGTATTCTATTGATTATTTGTATTCAATATATACTTGATTATTTATTTTTATAATCTAAATAAAAAAAGATTGTATAGCAAGTAGTAATTAATTTATATGATATAAAGATTCTATGCACATATATTATATATATCATATTTATATATATATCGTCAAATAGAACTGCCCGGTAAACCGTAGGCAGAGAGGGAGAAGAGGACAACAAACGAGGGGCTGTGACAAACTGTTTCGTCGGAGTTTCACCGACTCATCAGGAGGCTTTATATATATATATATAATATTTTTTATTATGTAAGTATTGGATTTTTTATATTTATCATATTTATATATATAATATACTTTTAATTATGTAAGTATTGGATTTGTTAATATTTATCCTCTGGGCAAACTCCCCCACCCCCTCTGACATCCCTGGGGGGTACTGCATCTGTGCAAGCTTTGCCGCAAAGTCTCTTGGAATTCTTCCCCCTGTCCAAAAATGGGAACACCGTGGTGTGCATGGGAATTACGCATACTTGCAGCGCATCACGTGCGCGCGAGTTACGCACGTGCACGCATGCGTGCGCACGTGATGTGGCGCACCCCAATGATTAGTGTTCATTAAGAAATTCCGGAAAGGGCAGGCTGTGGTAGCCAAATGCCCCCTCCTAAGAATCGCACGCGCACAGGAAAAAAAAAAAAAAAAAAAATGTGGCCACATCGTACTCCTCGTTGGATCCAGTCTCTTTTTTGAAGGGCCCCCAGCATAGGGGCCCCTTTTTTAGCAGAGACGCTCATCAAATTTCGACTTTGACACGAGCAGGCCAGCAATACATGCTCCCGATTCGAATTCAGGTCTGTGTTCCAGCAGTTATGGGTTGCTACTAGAGGAGTACGATGTGGTTAGTAGAGCAGTTATGGGTTACTACTATGGGTTACTACTAGTGGAGCGAGGCCTCTAGGGCCACCGCACGCAAGAGCAAGGCCTCTCGTCTTTTTGTTTTCCTCTTCTTGCGTGCAGTGGCCCTAAAGGCCTCGCTCCACTAGACACCAATTGCACAAAAGACGAGACGTATGGCGGCGTATGGTTCCGTGTTCTAGCAGAAGATTCATTCTAATCTTGCACATCTGGTGAGTAGTGGACAGAAGCCCTGAAAATCACGTGCTGAGTTAGTAAAAAAAAGTTAGTAACCCATCACTGCTGATACACTGGTATATAATATGTATAGTTGCCCTGCTACTTCCCTACCGTAAGTCCAATGCCTCCCTCTTTCTTGACGAAGGGACCCCTGCTAATTATTTGCTCGGGCCTCTCGGATTACCCACAGGGTTTTCTGATTCATGTGAAAGGGCTCTCTCTCTCTCTCTCTCTCTCTCTCTCTCTCTCTCTCTCTCTCTCTCTAGCACGCATGTATACACACATCACGGCCGGTGTTGTTGTTGTTTTCCGCGTATCAGAGATGAGCTCATCGCGCCACGCGCACCGCACATATGCACTGCAAGTTCACATCTCGAAGCTCTCGAATCCAGGTTACAGACGCTGCACAACCTCCACCGGAATGGTGCTGCATCAGACGAAGTCAGTTCGGACAATGAGATTAGTCAAGAGTATCTGAGAGAGAATTGAGGGCCCTGGAAGAAGCTGCAGCCGTGCAGCAAGGGGAGTCTCAGGTCTCTGACTCCGTCATCAATACTGACCAAGGCAACAGAACGAGGAAAAAGACGAGACGACCTGCTGTACCACTGCCTACAGAGAGACTAGAAGACCTACCTCCTGAGCGACCTGCTGTACCATAGCCTAGAGAAAAAGACCTCAAAGAACAAAGACAACAGACCGATACTACAAAAATGGAAAAATGCGTGCATATAACTAGGAAGGAAGGTGGGATGGGAAGTAAATCTCTCTCTCTCTCTCTCTCTCTCTCTCTCTCTCTCTCTCTCTCTCTCTCTCTCTCTCTCTCTCTCTCTCTCTCTCTCTCTCTCTCTCT